CCCAGGGAGGCCGGGGCCCCAGACCGTCCCAGGCTTCTTTGGACAAGGGTCTCTCCCTTACCTGCCCCGGCCCCCACCACGCCCGAAGACCTGGGCTAGCCACAGATTAGGATGTAGAAGCCTCTGGGGCACACGGGGGCAGGAGCCATCAGAGGGTGGAGGCCGCTGGCACGCCCACCTGGCAGGCTTGTACCTTGAGCATGCGGGTGGTGAGATGCGACACACTCGTGCGGGCAGGGTGCACCCCCTCCAGGGCTCTGGGAGCCTTGGGAATACGGAGCTGAGCCGGCTGGGAGGGCCAGCTACTTCTGTGGCTCTGGGCGGGGGGTGGCCCTGGCCCTGGCCCTAGCCCTGTCCGTGGGCCCGGGAGCGGGGCTGGCCCTGGCCCTGTCTGTGGGCCCGGGAGGGGGGGCTGGCTCTGTCCGTGGGCCCGGGAGGGGGGCTGGCCCTGGCCCTGTCCGTGGGCCCGGGAGGGGGGCTGGCCCTGGCCCTGTCCGTGGGCCCGGGAGGGGGGCTGGCTCTGTCCGTGGGCCCGGGAGGGGGGCTGGCCCTGGCCCTGTCCGTGGGCCCGGGAGGGGGGGCTGGCTCTGTCCGTGGGCCCGGGAGGGGGGCTGGCCCTGGCTCTGTCCGTGGGCCCGGGAGGGGGGCTGGCCCTGGCCCCGTCCGTGGGCCCGGGAGTGGGGCTGGCCCTGGCTCTGTCCGTGGGCCCGGGAGGGGGCTGGCTCTGTACGTGGGCCCGGGAGGGGGGCTGGCTCTGTCCGTGGGCCCGGGAGGGGGGCTGGCCCTGGCCCTGTCCGTGGGCCCGGGAGGGGGGCTGGCCCTGGCTCTGTCCGTGGGCCCGGGAGGGGGGCTGGCCCTGGCCCTGTCCGTGGGCCCGGGAGGGGGGGCTGGCTCTGTCCGTGGGCCCGGGAGGGGGGCTGGCCCTGGCTCTGTCCGTGGGCCCGGGAGGGGGGCTGGCCCTGGCCCTGTCCGTGGGCCCGGGAGGGGGGCTGGCCCTGGCTCTGTCCGTGGGCCCGGGAGGGGGCTGGCTCTGTCCGTGGGCCCGGGAGGGGGGCTGGCTCTGTCCGTGGGCCTGGGAGGGGGGCTGGCCCTGGCTCTGTCCGTGGGCCCGGGAGGGGGCTGGCCCTGGCCCTGTCCGTGGGCCCGGGAGGGGGGCTGGCCCTGGCTCTGTCCGTGGGCCCGGGAGGGGGCTGGCCCTGGCCCTGTCCGTGGGCCCGGGAGGGGGGCTGGCCCTGGCTCTGTCCGTGGGCCCGGGAGGGGGGCTGGCTCTGTCCGTGGGCCCGGGAGGGGGGCTGGCCCTGGCTCTGTCCGTGGGCCCTGTCCTTTCCACCTCCTCGTTCCCCGTCGGGGCTGAAGCCTGGGAAGGCGCAGTGCTGCTGCTCAACTGGGAGCTTCACTTTCGACAGAGACAGGGACGGCGGCGGCGTCTCGGCGGAGCCGGGTGTCCGCGGGGGCCGGCCGCCGGCCGTCTGTCCGTCCGTCCGCGGGGCCAGCTGTCCCGGGCCGGCCGCTGTCCGGGCGCGGACGGACACCCGAGGCGCCCCGGCTCGAGGGCGGCCTCCGCGGGCCCCAGGCCACGGCCGGCTCCGGCCGGCGGCTTCCCGCGGCCACCCGAGCGGCGGGCGCCGGGACTCGGCGCGGGCAGGGCCGTCCACAGGTGGCGCGGGCTCGGCGGGGCCCTCCACGCCCCGTTCCGCCCGTCCGTCCGCGCCCCGTTCCGCCCGTCCGTCCGCGCCCCGTTCCGCCCGTCCGTCCGCGCCCCGTTCCGCCCGTCCGTCCGCGCCCCGTTCCGTCCGTCCGTCCCGTCCCCCCGCCCGGCCCACCTGCGGCCGCGGCGCCCCCGCCGCTCTGGTCGAACTCGAAGAGGAAGTCGAAGTCGAACTCGGGGTCCTGCTCCAGCCCCGTCATGGCGGGGTCGGCGCCCCGCGCTCTCCGCTCGGCGCCCGGCGCGTCCCCGCCGCGTCCCGCCGCCCGCCCCGCCCCGCCCCGCCCCGCCCGGGCCGGCCGCCCGCCCGTCCCGCCCCGCCCCGCCCCGGTGTTTCCGGGTTCACATAAACAACCGGCTCGCGCGCGGCTTCCCAGTGCTAAGTGCGCCCCGCCGCCGCCGCTCCGGCCGAGACGCCTGGAATCTTCCAGAAGTGACCCCGTTTCTTGGCCAAGCCCATCTTACTTGCAGAAGGGTCGCGGCCGGCGGGAGCCCGCCCGGAAGCCCGGCGTCCGGAGGGGACGAAAGCCCCGCGACCCCCCGGCGGCGCCCCGCGTCCCCCGACTGCACCCCGCGACCCCGACTGCACCCCGCGACCCCCAACTGCACCCGCGCACCCCCGTTGGCGCCCCGCGTCCCCCTGCTGCGCCCCCGCGTCCCCGGCGGGGCCCTGCGCGCCCCCCCCAGGCTGCGCCCCGCGTCCCCCGGCGGCGCCCCGCGTCCCCCGGCGGCGCCCCGCGTCCCCGCTCGAGGCGCCCCCGCAGCTCCCGCGCACGGCCCCCACCGCCAGCCCCCAACACGGCGCCCCGTGCCCTGCGGGCCGGCCAGGGCTGCGGGGAGGCCCCGACAGCACCAGACCACCGCGGGCCTCGGGGCCGTCCACCCTCCTCCAGCCTGTCCCACCGTGGCTTCTAACTTCCCGGGGCCTGGGGCCTGCACCGCGCACGCCCGGGAACCGCGGCCCGGCTGAGCGTGGGGGCGAGGCTGGAGGGCAGCGGCCGCCCCGCGGGTCACCAACGGCGCTCTCCCCAGGTGGTGGCCGGCCTCACGTGGCTGCGGCTTCCCAGGACCCCGACCGAGGCCTGCTTTCCTCCCGTGATAAGCCGCGCCGGTGTGGCCTGATTTCGTTGCTAATAATAGTCCTTACTCGGAGATGCGGGTTGGAGGGCTGTTTTGTTTTAGCGTGCGATTCTGCTGACCTTCGGGCGAATGGAAGCCCGGCTCTCCTCCTCTCTGTGGCCACCTTTCCACCGCCAGCAGAAACCTCACAGCGGCCGTCCTGCTCAATGGCTCCGCCAGACGCTTTCTGCCACAGGGGTGTGGACAGCCCGACCGATGGCCCTGCCACCAGGCCCCAGGACAGCCACAGGGCTCTTCGCTCAGAAGCCCGACTGACAGCTGGCTTGTCCACAGCCCCACCCCATCGCTCGGGCCCGAGGTGCCCAGCCGGGCCTGTCCTTCTGAGCCCGGTGTGGAGGCTGACCTGCCTGTTCGGCAGACACTGTCTTGATGGATGTGTTTAGCTTGGACCGCTTCCTCACAAGGCTGCAGGACGTTCATGGGGTTCAGAACTCCGGAACAGGGTGTGAGGAAGCAGGGCTGGGCACGTTTTTTATCTGGTTTGGGAACCACCACCGAAAAGCAGGAGGACAGGGTTTGCTTTGTTCCCGTGGGAGGGGCCGTGGTCATTGTGTGGAGCAGCGCTGAGGGGTGGCTGCCCACGGGCCTGCATTTCTCGGGGCATTCTTCAGGGGAGAACACAAGCCTTCAGAAAGCGGGCCTCCTGCACTCCCATCCAGACGCTCCTGCGGCCGGAGGGCGTCAGAAGGATTTCCCTGGACCCTCGGCTAACAGCTCCCATCCCGTGGGCTGGCCTACTTCACACTTTCTAGGTAGTCCCATTATGTAGCCACTGTAAAATCCACCCATGTTTTGTCTAGGGGTGTTTTGCCCTAGGTCCACTGTCTCTTAGCAGAGGCCCCACCTCTGTATTTTCCTCTTGTAAGAGGTGAGGGAAAGATTTATTACAGAATGAAACACTGACTCACCAAGCAAAGGGGTCTAGGGTTGCAAAGACTGGGAAGTGGAGAGGTAACCACCCAAAGTGCACAAAGGCTATTAAACTTCTCTCATAGCAAAAGTTTGTCATGGAGGCATTTTTTTAAAAATGACCCCATGTTTCAACATTAAAACCTTATTTAAGTTAGAATGAAATGGCTAAGAAACACACAACAGGGCTGGGAAGGTGGCTCAGTGGTACAGTGCTTGCATGCATGAGGTCCTGGGTTCGATTCCTCAGCACTACATAAGCAGAAAAAGCTGGAAGTGGCGCTGTGGCTCAAGTGGTAGAGCACTAGCCTTGAGCTGAAGAGCTGAGGGACAGCACCCAGGCCCAGAGTTCAGGCCCCACGACTGATGAAAAGAAAAGAAAAAGTAGCACACATCATCCAACTCTTTTGGGCCCAAGTTCTCAGGCTGCGCGCCCTGGGTGGGGGCTCCGAGCTTGCCCCTCCCGCGGCCGGTGGCTTTGTGAGGGACCCGCGCTCCGCAGCGGGCTCTGGGCAGCACGGCCGGCCTCAGTGTGGGCATGCACAGCACCGGCTCAGCAGACTGCTTCTGCTGATAACCAGCAACGGAAGGTCCTGAAGATGCCCACAGGTGTCCTTCGTTACTCCCGGCCCCTGCTGCGCGTGCTGCGGGGCGCGCGGGGCGCAGGGGAGCCCCGCACAGGCGCGGAGGAACGGCCCTGACAACCAGAAGCTGCTGGCGCCCTGCCGTCCCTCCCCAAGCTTTCCAGAAGCCAAGACCCGCCGAGCAGCGAGCAGCGTGCGTCGGGGCCTTCCTCCCACTGGGCTCAGAGGGGCTCGAGGGGCCTCGAACCCGGCCCCGACCCCCCGACCCCCCGGCGGGCTCCCCGGCGCTGGGGCAGAGGCGCCTGCCACGCTGGCTGGGCAGGCGGGCACAGGACCCCAAAACTCTGGCTGCGGGGCTGCTCTAGGCCCGCGGCGGCTCCGCCTCCCTGGGCGGGCCGGGCGGGCTCCGTGGCTCCGACGGGCGCCCCATCTCGTCCCCAGCCCACACGGCGGCCCAACCGCCCGCATGTGAACGGAGCTCCCCGCAGAGCCGCCGCGGGTCCCGGCCGAGCTCGCGCCTCGGCGCGGGGGAGCAGGAGACACCTATTGGCAAGGGAGCGCTCGGGAACGGGGCTGTGGGGGACGGGGGGCGGCTGGGATCCGCGCCCGCTGCCGGGGCGCGCGGCTCACGGAGGTGCGGGCACGGGCGGTGCGGGGCTTACCTTCCTCGGCCGCCTTCATGGCGCTGCCCGAGTGCCGCGCGGGCCCCAAAGTTTCTCCGCTCCCGCGGAGCGCGGCCGCAGGGCGCAGCGGGGACGTGGAGGGGACGGGCCGGCTGGTCCTTGGCATCCACGCGGCGGCGGGAGGAGGAGCGGGAGCGGCGTCCCGAGACGCCGGGCCGCGCTCAGCGCCACGCGCCGCGGGTAGGCGGCATCGGGGGCCGCGCGCGGGGCCGGGCCGGGGCGGCTGGCGGGCTCGGAGGGGCGCGGCGCGCCCGGGAGCCTGCGCTCGGCCGCTGGGATCCGCGCGGCGCCTCCGCCGCCCGGCTCGGAGCCGCCCGGTCCCGCTCTGACGCAGGGCCGCGCTCGCCTCCGGCCTTTTTAAAGCTGGAAAACACCTCCCCGCCCCCCGCCGCCGCCGCCCGCGCCCCCTCCCTGCAGTGACATCACACCCGGGCCGCCCGGCCCGCGCGGGCCCGGGGGACGCGGCGCCCAGCGCCGCCCGCACGCACATGCGCCCGCGGGACGCCCCTGGGCGGCCGGGCGCCGCGGCCTGGTGGGGCGCGCTCCGTGGCGGGGGGCGCGGGACCTCGGGAGCGGAGACTGGGCTTGGACGGCGCGCGGGGCGGGCGGGCCCCGGGGCGGCGAGGCGCACGCGGGGACGGGGGGGGCGCGCGAGGAGCAGGCCGGGCGTCCCGCGGGGGCGCCGGGGCACACGCGGCGTGGGGCGGGGCGGGGCGCGGAGACAGCCCGCACGCTGAAGTCATTAGGCCGGCTCGCGGGCTTGCCCCGCCGTGGAAATCTGGAGCCGCGCTTCCCCTGGCCGGGAGAGGAAGTCCCGTCCCGCTAAATTACTAACAGACTGCGGGCGCCCCTCCGCCTGCCCGGCAGGTGGGGGACGGCGGCCTCCGTTCTCCCCCGGCCGCCCCGTTTTTCCCCCTCCCGTCCCCCCACATCGCCCCGTCCCTCCCCCCGGCCGCCCCGCCCCCCGGATGGCCCCGTCCCCCTCATCGGGCCGCCCCGTCCCCCCAGGATGGCCCCGTCCCCCCCCCGCCGCCCCGTCCCCCCAGGATGGCCCCGTCCCCCTCATCGGGCCGCCCCGTCCCCCCAGGATGGCCCCGTCCCCCTCATCGGGCCGCCCCGTCCCCCCCAGGAAGGCCCCGTCCCCCCCCCCGCCGCCCCGTCCCCCCAGGATGGCCCCGTCCCCCCCCCCCCCGCCGCCCCGTCTCTCCCCTATCGCCCCGTTCCCTCCCCCGATTGCCCCGTTTCCCCCGGATCGCCCCGTCCCCGGCCTCCCGCGGCTCCCGCGCTCCGGGGACCGGCGCCGGGCGGGCGGCTCCTTAGGAGGCGTCAGAGAAACGCCAAAGCAGAACAGTGACTCCGGCGGCCCGAGAGCTCAGGACCGCGCGGGGCCGCCGTGCCACGCGCGCCCCCAGGGCTCCGCCCCGGGACCCGGCAAGAGGGGCGCAGTGGGAAGCGTGGGCGCCCCGCCGCCCGCTTCCTTGGCCGCCTTGCCCGTGCGCGCCCGCAGGCGGCGCCGCAGGCTGCTCTGTGGGGGCCGGGGAGGTCGGGGGTCCCTCCGGAGGTTCGGGGGGGGCAGGGGCTGGGGAGGCCGGGGTTGCCCACGGAGGCGCCGGGGGTGTGGGTACTGGGAGGCCGGGGATCCCCACGGAGGTTCCGGAGGTGCAGGGGGCGGAGAAGCCGGGGGTCCCCACGGAGGCGCCGGTCCAAGCGGCTGGGGCGGCCGGCGGGAGCGCGGGGGAAGACGGCCGGGACGCGGCGGGGGAAGCCCTGAAAGGGTGCGGAGCCCGGTGCTAGCCCGGGCCGGGCCGCCAGGGGGCCGGCCGCCCGCGCCCCTCCCTCCGCTACGTCCCAGACCCGAGTGCCAGGGTTTCGCCCGGAGAGTTTCCGTCCCCGCCCTCGCCGCGCGGCCGCAGCCGGCGGGCTGGGCCGGGCCGGGCCTCGGTCCCGGCGGCGCGCGGAGCGCCGGGTTCGCCTCGGGGCTTCTCCAGGCCATCGGGTCACGTCCGAGGCCTCCCGGGCCCCCCCGCCGCCCACCCGAGGGCGTCCCCAGCCCGGGACCCGTCGCTGGGCTGTGTGGGCCCCCCTCCCGCCCTCCCCTCCGGTCCCCCTCCCGCCCTCCCCTCGCACCCCCCCCCCGTGCGTAACTCTGCACCCCGTCCAGAAAAGCCCTCTCCCGCCGTCCCGCGCCCTCCGCGTCCCCCGCGTCCCCCGCGGTGGCGGAGCCCGGCCTGTTTCCCTCTGTTTAATGCCGTTGCCCGGGCCACGGCGGCGGCGCGCCAGGCGCGCGGAGTTCCGGAGGCGGCGCGGAGCGGCCGCTGGGCCGGGCCCGGGTCCCGCCCGGTCCCCGCCCGGCCCGCGCTCGCCGCGCGCTCGCTTGTGCGCTACCAGGAGGGGCGCTGCGGGTGATCTCGGGGCGGCGACGCGGCCGAGCGCGCCCGGACCAGGGCTATTTTTAGACGGCCGTGTTTTCTGCGGCTCTGGGGCGAGCTGCCCGGGCCGCCGGGCGTGGCGCCGGGACCCCGGAGCCTCCTGGGGGTCCGTCCGCTGCTCCGGACGCGGCCCCGCCGACGGCCGCCCGGACGCGCGCTGCCCCGGCCCCGCCGACGGCCGCAGTGCGCAGCATCCACAAGATTTTTCCGGAAAACAAATCACACGGAAAAACCCACCTGCCAGCGACAGCGCACTGTCCGCACTGGCCCCGCATTCTGACACACGCAGCCCCCCGCAGGTCTGACACACGCAGCCCCCCGCAGGTCTGACACGCTCAGCCCCCCCGCAGGTCTGACACGCGCAGCCCCCCCAGGTCTGACACGCTCAGCCCCCCCCAGGTCTGACACGCGCAGCCCCCCTGCAGGTCTGACACGCGCAGCCCCCCCAGGTCTAACACGCTCAGTCCCCCCAGGTCTGACACGCGCAGCCCCCCCAGGTCTGACACGCGCAGCCCCCCCAGGTCTGACACGCTCAGCCCCCCCAGGTCTGACACGCTCAGCCCCCCCCAGGTCTGACACGCGCAGCCCCCTGCAGGTCTGACACGCTCAGCCCCCCGCAGGTCTGACACGCGCAGCCCCCCCAGGTCTGACACGCTCAGCCCCCCCAGGTCTAACACACGCAGCCCCCCCAGGTCTGACACACAGAGTGCCCTGCAGATATGACACACGCAGCCCCCCCAGGTCTGACACACAGAGTGCCCTGCAGATATGACACGCGCAGCCCCCCCAGGTCAGACACGCGCAGCCCCCCCAGGTCTGACACGCGCAGCCCCCCAGGTCTGACACGCGCAGCCCCCTCAGGTCTGACACAGAGTGCCCTGCAGATATGACACGCGCAGCCCCCCCAGGTCTGACACGCGCAGCCTCCCCCAGGTCTGACACGCGCAGCCCCCCCAGGTCTGACACGCGCAGTCCCCCCAGGTCTGACACGCGCAGCCCCCTCAGGTCTGACACGCTCAGCCCCCCGCAGGTCTGACACGCTCAGCCCCCCCCAGGTCTGACACGCGCAGCCCCCTCAGGTCTGACACGCTCAGCCCCCCGCAGGTCTGACACGCTCAGCCCCCCGCAGGTCTGACACGCGCAGCCCCCCCGCAGGTCTGACACGCTCAGCCCCCCGCAGGTCTGACACGCGCAGCCCCCTCAGGTCTGACACGCGCAGCCCCCCGCAGGTCTGACACGCGCAGCCCCCTCAGGTCTGACACGCTCAGCCCCCCGCAGGTCTGACACGCTCAGCCCCCCCGCAGGTCTGACACGCGCAGCCCCCCGCAGGTCTGACACGCTCAGCCCCCCGCAGGTCTGACACGCTCAGCCCCCCGCAGGTCTGACACGCGCAGCCCCCCGCAGGTCTGACACGCTCAGCCCCCCGCAGGTCTGACACGCTCAGCCCCCCGCAGGTCTGACACGCGCAGCCCCCCCAGGTCTGACACGTGCAGCCCCCCCAGGTCTGACACGCGCAGCCCCCCCAGGTCAGACACGCGCAGCCCCCCCAGGTCTGACACGCGCAGCCCCCCCCAGGTCTGACACGCGCAGCCCCCCGCAGGTCTGACACGCTCAGTCCTCCCCCAGGTCAGACACGCGCAGCCCCCCCAGGTCTGACACGCGCAGCCCCCCCCAGGTCTGACACACAGAGTGCCCTGCAGATATGACACACGCAGCCCCCCAGGTCTGACACGCGCAGCCCCCCAGGTCTGACACGCGCAGCCCCCCCAGGTCTGACACGCGCAGCCCCCCCAGGTCTGACACGTGCAGCCCCCCCCAGGTCTGACACGCTCAGTCCCCCCCAGGTCTGACACGCGCAGCCCCCCCAGGTCTGACACGCGCAGCCCCCCCAGGTCTGACACGTGCAGCCCCCCCCAGGTCTGACACGCTCAGTCCCCCCCAGGTCTGACACGCTCAACCCCCCGCAGGTCTGACACGCGCAGTGCCAAGTGTGTCCCCCTCCCCTCTGACACAGGGTCGGCCCCAAGCCGTACGTGACACCCGGAGGCGGCACCCAGGAAAGCAAGGTGGCGTCTGAGTGTGTACTTACTTGTCTCTGTGTGTGTGCGTGCCAGCGCTGCCAGAGCCTCAATCCACCCGCGTTTCCTGTGTTCACGGAAGATCAGAGTGTCCTGGACTAACTGCCTGGGCTGGCCTTGAACCACGGTCCTGATCTCAGTCTCCTGGGGTAGCTAGGTTCTTCAGCGGGAGCCGTGGCGCCCGTTTCTTCCAGGTATGAGCCACTGGCTCCCACCTGGGCCCGGTGGGACCCAGGGCCCAGCGGCCGGCTCCACCATGGAGCCCAGCCCCACCTGGCTGCTTCTGAAGCTGGCAAAGTGTCAAGTCAGCGCCCAGTCTCCCGGCTCTGCGACCGGACCAGTGTGACCCCTTCAGATATCCCCTCCATCCCCAGTGTTTAGCCCAGGCGGGTGGGGGGGTAAATTTAGGGTCCAGAGATTTTACACTGTATTTCTTGCACCATGTCTTTGAGCTCTCCCTCTCTGGGCCTGCATCCAGCCCCACCCCATGCCAACCACCTCCACACGCAGCTTGCACCCCAAAGACCCCAGCCCAGGCCCTTAGGGGGTGTGGTCTTGAAGGGTGTTAAGACCTCCTGCCCTGCCCCCTGTGGTCCCCTGTGGGGTGGGGGTGGGGAAAGAGGAGGACCAGGAGGAGGGCAACCTCAAGGAGGACAGCGTGGCTCCTCCCAGGGAGGGCCCACCAGCACTTTGTGCCTCACCA